CAGAAAGAGAGGGGCTATACCTATACCGCCATATCTCATTTCCAGCTCATGCACGGCGCAGCCACGATGGTTTGTGTACCTGCCCATTAATTATCAGGTATGTAGACTATCACGATTAGGTCTATTGAAAAGCCGATAGAGGCGTTGAGACTATTACACCACGCAGAACTCCGTAGCAGAGACGGAGACCTTTTGGGATCACGTTAAAATTCTCCATCATCGCTACATTTCAAGATACGGATTTATAGAACTAGGACCTAGGACCTAGGTACACTATTATCAAGTTCGCCCACCTCCTACCTCCTACCTCCTACCTCCTACTTCTATTAAAATACAACGATAGAAGCTGGGGGCTCACCAATTGCTAACGACGTAACGTTCATTCCGAGCCAACGCCGTTCTTACTGAGTTGGGTTTGACGGGGTTTCAACTTCAGACCAAAGTACGATCAGTGACTATCTAGACATATCTATCTCCTTGAGTGCTATATGTAGGAAGCTTGGTATGAAACTACGTAGGCTATTTAGCATACATTTACTAGTAGATGTCGTGCGTGGGTAGACCATTCTTCCAAAGTCTCCCGCTCTCATATTTTGACATTATCGACAACCCCCACTCGATTCTTCACTCCTTTTTCGACTAGGAATTCCATAACCTCCAAGGCGGCTGAGGGACGGGTCAGCAAGTGTGATAAGCTATGGGCGGTTGAATCGAGCAATTTCCTATTCCTGGCTATCCCTGTCAATATCACGACGCCGGCAAATACGACCCCTATAGTCGACGACGAAGCCTATATGGCTTTCATGAGAACCGATCTCGACACAGACTTTTGTAAAACAATAACACATTTTGCTGCTTCGGGCCTATCATTCATTGTCCACCAGGCGGTGATGCCTGAGATGTGATCTGCCTGTATGCCAGTCTACCATAATGACGTAAATGGATCCGAATATCTCGATTTTCCACCCTCTTCTAATGGGAAGTAACTCAGACAAACCCCTGCGGATCTTTTCACTTTGATGGCCTCTTCTCTTCTGGTTCTGCTGAGGGTTAGACCTGAAAAGATGTCGCTCTCCCCGAAAATGTGATTCAATCACTATACGAACATTTCACGTGAAAATATGATACAGTGCCTTGAAACCCATTCAGGAAGAAATTCGTATTATTGTAAAAAGGTGCATGGAATAGAAGTAAGAACGTTTGTTGCAAGAATGCCGGCATGACCAGGCTCAACAGACAACTCGAGCGATCTTGCAATTCAGAAAAAGAGTCATCATCCCGGCCTAAACTCCGAGCGGGAATAACTAATCATTACAGTAACCTGACCTCGTATCTGCATCAGCATCAGCACTCATAACGCCCCCTCCTTTAGTCGTGGCTCGTCATAAACCCAAATATCATCAATTCTGGATCTTTTTGGATCTTTTCAGGGCCCTTTGGGCCTTACCCAGACCTACTCGCCTCGACCTCGATAGTTGCCCATCTTCTCGATAGAACTCATAATACCGCTCCGCATACCCATGCCACTACCAGGGCGCGGAATGCCACCATGAGATCCACCATTCTTGCCTCGCTCGTGAGCAAGGCCGCCAATTCCGCCGATCCTACTGTCTGTCGACTTCTTCACCGAGCCGGGCGCTCTCAGACCCGAGACCCGATTCCCAACACTACTGCGGAAGTTCTCGGGGCCTGGAGTCGGGTGAGCCTTAGGAATAGATGGTCGAGCCGGAGGCGGCCGCCGCTCCTCCGCCTGGGCAGCAAGATTCTGCATCGACATCATCTCTTCCGCTAGCATGACGAGCTCTCCCTTCTCGACGCGCTCCTTCTCGAGGAGCTGACGGAGTTCGCGGTTGTCTACTTTGACACTATTAACGACGGCCTCGAGCTTCTCGATCTCCGCATTCAGCTCCTTGATCTGCGCTGAGTCCTTCACAGCTTGAGCCTTGCGCTCCTCGTCAATAATGCTCTGGTTGGGATCAACCCTAGTCATTGTGGCATCTCGGCCAAGCCTCAACTTCTCATTCTCATCGGCTAGGTCTTCTAACTTCACTTCGAGTTCGCGAACCTTTTTCTCCCAACGAGTCTCGTAGCTCTTCTTTAGAGCTGCCACTTTGGTCTCGTGCTTGCTCTTGTAAAGCGCGTGCAATTCGCGGGCGACCCGCTCGACAGCGATCTCGACCTCGCGAGATCCGGCATTCTTAGCTTTGTCGGGCGACCTAATGGCCCCTGACTCAGACCCTGACTCCGAAGTCGCTTTGCCGGCACGCATGCCCGCCATCTTGCTCTCGGCCTCTTGCGCCATGATCTCGGCCGCTTCGCGACGCTTCTCGCTCTCCTCAAGTTTCGACTCAAGCTCCTCGCGCTCCCGCTGGCTCGTAACAATTTCTTCCTTGACCTTACGAAGTACAGCCTCCATCTCGCGGCCGCGCGTCTCCCAGCTGTCTCGTTCCTCAGTCAAGGCTTCTCTTAGAACGCGTATCTCACGGAGTTCTTCCATACACTCGCCCACTCGCTTCTCGGCATCGCCCACTGCTGTTTTGAGAGAAGAGACTTCGGCCTCTTTGCCGCTGAGCGAGGCTTTGAGACCACTGATCTCCGAGAGAAAACCAGACTTGAGTGATTCGAGCTCTCTTGGTGTTATGGTAGGGATGCTTCGGGGTGTAGGAAGTGGGGGTATGTCAAAGTCGAGCAAGTTGGATTGTCGACGTTGAGGAGTTGCAGCAATAGAATTTCGGGGGGCTCTGGCAGACGCAAGATTCCTGCTAGGTGTTTGCTGGACATATCTAGAGGATAATCCATTCATCTGCTCAGTGAAGTCCATCAGAAGATTTGTGGTGTTACCGGACTCGTGCATGGTAACCGGCCTAGGAGCTCTCATGGGCGACGCATCCTGATGAGCTCGCAGCGTGGGAGAAGCGTCCACGTTAGCAAATTTGGTAGGACTATGTCCGATTCGTGCGAACATGGTCATGTTCGGTACAGCAGAAAAGTTGCTAAAAGTGCTAATCATAGTATCATCCGGTCCTGTGGGTTCATCCTCAATGGGCTGGTCGCTGGAGGACATTGTCGTGACATCACCCTCATCATCGTCAGTGTTTCCCAGCGTATCCTCGTCTTCAAAAATCTTGATGGCATTTGCCAAGCCTTCGTTTCGACGAAGTGCCTCTTCGATAGATATTTCTTGTTCCTTCACTTTAGGCGTCTGGACCTCAGGAGATAGTGACAGCGACGGACTACTGTTGACCTTGACGGGGAATCGCTTCTCCGGTGCTACTTTTCGCGGACTCTTCATCGGGGAGGGTTTCTTCTGGGTAGATCGGGACTCGGTGTCGCTCTTGTCGTCCTTAGTGATTAGAATCTTGAGAGGTGTGAGCTCGTTACCAGATAATATTCTGGAGTGACGCGATTTGGACGGCGAAAAGTTCTCCTGGTTGTGACTGGCACTGGTATTGTCTGCACTAGCATCGGTCGGAGAGTTCAAATGGGTGCTCGCAACGTCACCGTCATTGGCGACATGTTCGCTAGTCATCTTGGTTGTATACGATTTGACTTGGTACCCTTTGTATTCTTCGTTTTTCTCTGGATCTGGGCGACAGGAGGTTGAAGGTGTTGTAAAATTAAGCGTCGCGTTACTAGAGGGGGTGAGTGGTAGAGCCATTAAAGGTTTGAAAGATTTGGTCTAACAGGTATTAATGGCGGTCAAAATGAGTCAATTGACCATGCATACGACCATGTAGAAGATTGAGGGATGGGGTAGTGCAGTTCAAATGTGTGCTCAATTGAAATGCAGGTATGGATGGTATGGCGTAGGTAGGTTTTGTGGTGGTGTATTGTGGTGGTGGTGGCGGCGACGATGGTTACGTTAAGTTTGCGAGTTAAACTTTGCCAGAAAAAAACGGGAATTGAGAGATGGAATTCGGAGTTGTGCTTGATTCGCTCTTCCCTGGTTGACAGAGCAACACCAGTGCGCAAGTTATATAACCCCTGCCATACTACCTAGTAGTATGTACAATGTACATTGAAGTCTTCCACTCTAGGGCTTAGCGTACTTAGCGTACTTTTAGTGTCGTCTTCGAAGCATGTGATTCGTTCACCATCTTTCACCGTGGCTTACGGCTTGTAACTTGTGGCTTGTAACTTGTAACCTGCACTCGCATATCAGGACAAATCATCTGATATCATCAACTATACACATCTCATCTTAAAGTCAATGATTGAAATTTCGTATCTACACATCCGACTTAAATCTTCAAATCACCTTTTGCTATGAATGTAGTATCTATGTATATAAGAGCCTTCTTTTATGCATCCATCTAAGACCATTTACTGAGAAGTAGAGCTATCTTAGCCACAGTCCTTCCTAACTAGGCCGATCCCAACTCCGCACCCAGACCTCTGATAACTAACCAAATAGGTACTCTAAATGAAGGCATCTAGCAAGATGTAAGTAAGAAGAATAGTACTTGATACCTTACGTTAATGACTCCCGTCGAGCCTTTTGTGAAGTCTCGTAGATAGCCATGGAGCTATAATCAGCCTATGAAGGAGTTCCTTAACCTAGCCATGAATCCCTATATCGTAGTATTGTGAGCATACTCGGTGATTCGACATAAATGTCCCGTTCAATGTATAAGTCAAGACTTCGTGGCATGATAATACACCTCTGAAGAAACTATATTTTATATATTCAACGAGCGACCTTTTACCGTCGAGATCTTGTGGGTGAACTCTTAGTGTAAACAATGCAATGCTTTTGTTGGCTACTTCGCCATTTGTCACGCATAATAAACCAGTAAACATGTCACCACCACGTATAACGGATGATATATTTAAACAGTATATCCCATATAAATATATTAGTTCATCGATATATAATAAGTTGATAAAGGTCTTGTTGTAAATAATTGTAGGTGTTTCGTATATCAAACTGGGTAGATGAGAGATATAGGCGACTTTAAAATCCCGCATTTCTATGTCACCCGATCAGTTAAGTAAAAAGAGGCATTGTGGCAGAGTGGTCTAATGCGTATGGTGGGTCAAATACACCTGTCTCTGCTAGAGACGATGGTTGCTAACCCACATTTATAGACTCGAATACATTGTTTAATCATATCTCTTCGGAGGCGCCCGTTCGAATCGGGCCAATGTCGCACAATTTTTTTCCCCTGTACGAATAGCTCTATTCGCATAAGAAGGGCTTATGAAGAATGAATGACAAGTACATGTAGAGTCAAGTACTTTTAACATCCGTAAGCTATACTTCTAGTGACAGCTTTAGTCGAGCTAAGTTTAAGTTCAAAGATATGACATAGCAATGGCTAACCCCATTCTTCGAGCTTTTGCTAGTATCTCGACTTACCTATAGCCGATGAATGGTAGAATTCTCTCGGAGTTTTATGCTGACCTGAAAGACTTTAGCGGTATTTGTGGCTTCCCGTGGTTTTTATACCTTGACCCTATAGCTTATTCTAGCATAGATATAAATTTTAAACTTTGTATGCTTATACTTCTACTTGGATATATGTCAAATAATTTTGTTGGCTCTACCCGCTAATCGAGAAGTTGCGAGAAGTTGCGCCATTTTGGCAAACATTGCTTGAAGCACTTTTTATAAACTTACTAACATACGTAAGTCCGTTCGAGGGATATGCACCATAGACATTGGTAAAGGAACCTACCAGGGTTCTGCAAGACTGATATCTCGGAGTATGAGGTTACACTGTACGATGATTCGAAACCATGTATGCGTTGTTTGACAAGATTGGCCAGATATATCCTGGCAGTGAGCGCGAATTACGGCGATGACTAGGTTGGTACTTGATATTTAGTCAATCAAGTTGACTGAAATGTAAGTACTGCTGCCAGAAGCCGTTTTGACTATGCCATGTTTATTGTCATCTATGATTTTGAGGAATAAGTTTAATGGCTGTGCCGCCTCGTGGTTTACATGGTTAGCTGGTAGTTAGTGGGTGAGAAGTGCGATTCACAGTCCATCTTCTATTGCCTGCGGATTGTCTGCGGATTATAGATGTCCACGGTGGCTGAGGCGTTCAACGTTGTTGAGAAATAAGAAAATAAAAAACGCCCAACAAAAACATTTGTAAGAATCTACTTGTGTAAATACATACGCAAGTATTCTTCGATGATTATATTTTATGCATTTATCATATTATGTACCTATCTATCTACATATGTAGTACCTAATAGCTTCATCTATACGTATTGTACTTGCTTAGACCTGTTGATAACTACCTACATACTTAGGTAGAGATGTATGTAGCAGATAGCTCATAGAGCTGCGGGCGGTATATTAATCAAGTGTCGATAATTCCTGGTGTCGCCTCGGTTGGGCTGGTCGAACAAGAAGACATGATATCCACTCGATGCTTACATGTGGGCATAGGAAAACGATTGATTCATGTTCAAGATTCAATGTTATTACTACTACTCGTTTTAGTATCGATGTGTAAGTCCTCTTTAAATACATAGGCTTGTACTTACATGCTGATCTAAAATACACATCTACATGTAGGTAATCCTGGGGATATGATTGGATACCGCGCAATCTACTAGGTACATAGTACGAAAAGTCTGGGTGCACCTATGTACCTTAACGCACATAGGTAGTAGGTAGGCAGGTATTAGGGTTCCTATGGTTCCTAGGTCGGGTACCTAACGTACCCACGCCAGTAGGGTGACAACATAAACGTAAACCTTAAACATAACTTAAACAGCTAACCTATTTTAGAAAGGACTACTTAAAGTGGGAAAACCTTTAAAAACCATATATTTATATTATACGCGTTATACATTTAAAAATAAAACTACATAATTATATATATCGTAATTAAATAAAATTATTATTATAAATAAAATTTTAATTTTATAATATAATTAAAAATATAATTTAATATTTAATATTTAATATATTATAAAATAAAATATATATATAATTTTTTTAAAAAATATAATTTTATATTATTATTAATATATTATTAAATTATATATATATATATATATATATATACGTGAAGAAATAAATAAAAAATAAAATATAATATAATTATAATTATAATTAAATAAATCAAACCGTAATGTTATTTATATTTAATTTTTTTAAAAATATAATAAAAAAATTATTTATTTATTTATTTATAAAATTAATAAAATATTAATTAAAGTTTAATGAAAATTTTATTAATAATAATATAATTATTATTTACTTTATTTTTTTATAATAATATTATAAATTACTTTTATTTAATTTATTTTTTAACTTAATAATTTGTTACGAACCCGTCTACTACTTTTGTTTAACTGACTTCGTAGAGCGGATACGTACCCTGGGGTACTTGGTTTTAAGGTAACAATACTGTAGGGTTGACGATTCTGTTCGTAAAAGAGATTTCCTGGGACTCTATATTCAAGTGCGGTCTGAATACTTAGATTGAAAGCTAGAGAACTAAAACTAAATACAATAGGAAATTTCGATTCTTTATATATTAACTCTCCTTCGCTGGTAGAGGAATGAATCGATGGGAACTAATGGTGAGTTCGTCGATTCATCGTTTCCTGAAACGCTGAATCGAGGCATGTATCACGGCGATTTATCGTTTCAGTCACGTGACCTTCGGATTATTATTTCTTCCGGTGGTCGTATCTTCGGATCGTAACAAATATTTATTTAAAAATAATATAATTTTTATAAAAATAAAACTTTTAATTAACTTTTTAACATAAATTATATTATATTAATTTACGATAATTAAAATCCGTATAATATTTAATTTAAGTTTAAAGCCTTTAATTATAATTATAAGTTTTTTTAAAATAAATTAATTATTTATTTTATATATAAAAATTAAATTTAAATTATATATATTTTTATATTTATATATATTTATACTTTTATAAAAATAATAATTATTATTTAACGAAGTTTTTTCTATCGTATAAAAAATTATATTTAATTATAAATTTTATATAAAAAAATACTTTTATTTACTTATAAAATAATTATTTAACACGGATTATATAAATATTTATAAATATTTTATAACTTTAATCATATTTTTATATGGTTAATACATTTAAAATATATCCATTAGTGGAGAAAAGCTCCGTTAAACAACAATTACCATCCTTGCAAAGGTGTACATAGTATAGTACTTATGTACTACGAAGGAAGTACTAGGTAGTACTGTACAAACCCCGCCAACCCTCCAAATTGGAAGATGAAAATTGAATGGTCATGGAAGCGCCCGCGCAGGGACTCGCCCAATTCTTGGCTGGAGCTGATTGTGCTTCAGCAAAAAAACATTTGAACCATGCCAGGTGAGCAGGTGGGGTTAATCCGTAGGTAACTTCCTACCTTAAACCTACCAGGTAGTACATACTACATACTAGTACATACTTTGTAACTTTTCTGAAAATGTTCAGACTTTAGAAATACCTCACATACTTTACATACCTCACCTACCTCACATAGGATTTTCTTTTTTCTTTCTCTCTCTCCTGTAAACCTGATATTTAAGAAAAATATTATCCCTCCCTTTCCTTTCTCCTCCCTTTTCCCTCTTCCATTCTTCAGATCACCAAAGTCCTCACTCCCTCCACCGGCTCTCTTGACAGCCTTATCAACCTCCTCCTTCGCCACGCCAATATCCAACATCTGACATTTGACATCCTACCAACATACCATATTCATACCATCCATACTCATCTGTATTGACAAGTACCTACGCAATGTCTACAACCTCACTCGACCACCTCGCCTTGGGCGGCCGTGTCGAATGGCTTGCTAGTCTCAACACTTCTAGCGCCCCCAGTAAGAACGCCCATCGACGAACTTCTATCATCTGTACCATCGGTCCTAAGACCAACTCCGTTGAGAAGATCAATGCCCTGTTAGTTCAATTTATATGCCACTAAAACTTGTAAAACTTGTAAGACATATAGAAGCTGACGCGGTATCGTTGAAACATAGGCGAGAAAACGGTCTAAACATCGTTCGCATGGTGAGCATTCTGAAAACTTACAAATGAGCTTACCCGGGGTACTAATTATATATAGAACTTCAGCCACGGAAGTTACGAGTACCACCAATCCGTCATCGACAACACTCGCGCCGCCGAGAAAGCTCAGAGCGGCCGCCAAGTCGCCATTGCCCTCGACACAAAGGGTCCTGAGATTCGTACAGGCGACACCGAGCGTGGCGAGGATATTCCTATCAAGGCCGGCCATGTCCTCAACATTACCACGGATGAGAAATATAAGACCTCGTGTAACTCGGAGCATATGTACGGAATATCCTCGTAAATATTATCAAGGCTCCTTGGAACTGACATTTCGCATAGGTACGTCGACTATGCAAATATTACCAAGGTAATCGAGAAAGGAAAGGTTATTTACGTCGACGACGGTGTGCTCGCCTTTGATGTGCTAGATATCAAGGACGAAAAGACGGTTCAAGTTCGTTGTCGTAACAATGGATTTATTTCCTCTCGAAAGGGCGTTAACCTTCCCGATACTGATGTCGACCTGCCTGCTTTGTCCGAGAAGGACAAGAAGGATCTAAGGTTCGGCGTCCAGAACAATGTCGACATGGTCTTCGCCAGCTTCATTCGACGGGGCGAAGATATTCGTTCCATCCGTGAAGTTCTAGGGGAAGACGGCAAACATATCCAGATCATTGCCAAGGTAAGCATCGAATCGTGGTAAACTCCTAGCTTCGATGATTTAGTTGCTAACTCATTCCCTACAGATTGAAAACAGGCAAGGGTAAGTTTCTAATATTAAATTGAACTCTTTATTTTAACTATGCTTGACATCGTTCACGCGGTCGGGGATGAAAAGATATCGACTAATATTTTTGTTCAGTTTGAACAATTTTGATGAGATCCTCAAGGAGACTGACGGTGTCATGGTGGCTCGAGGAGATTTGGGAATCGAGATCCCGGCCTACGAAGTATTCGCTGCTCAGAAGAAGTTGATTGCGAAGTGCAACATCGCCGGCAAGCCTGTGATCTGCGCAACTCAGATGTTGGAGAGCATGATTACCAACCCTCGCCCAACCAGAGCAGAGATCAGTGATGTCGGCAACGCTGTTACTGATGGAGCAGACTGCGTCATGCTCAGCGGAGAAACTGCC